TTTCACTTAGCATAATGCTCTCCAGTTCCATCCATGCTGTTGCAAATGGTAAGAATTCCTTCTTTTTTTACAGCAGCGTAGTAATCCATTGTGTAGATATACCACAGTTTTTTAATCCACTCATCTGGTGATGGGCTCTTAGGCTGTTTCCAAATCTTAGCTATTGTAAATTGTGCTGCTATGAACATAGGGGTGCATATATCCTTTCTGTTTGGTGTTTCTAGTTTCTTGGGATATATTCCTAGAAGTGGGATCACTGGGTCAAATGGGAGTCCCATTTTTAGTTTATTGAAGAAACTCCATACTGTTCTCCAGTCTGCATTCCCACCAGCAGTGCACGAAGGTTCCTTTTTCTCTGCATCCTTGCCAGCACTTATTATTTGTTGATTTGTTGATGATAGCCATTCTGACAGGTGTGAGATGGTACCGCATTGTTGTTTTGATTTGCATCTCTGGGATGATTAGTGACTTTGAGCATGTTTTCATATGTCTCTTGGCCTTCCTTATGTCCTCTTTCGAAAAGTATATATTTAGGTCCATTGTCCATTTTTTGATTGGGTTGTTTATCTTTCTTTTGTTAAGTTTTATGTGTTCCCCATAAATGTTGGAGATAAAACCCTTATTGGTGATAACATTGGCAAATATGTTCTCCCATGCAGTGGGCTTTCTTATTGTTTCGTCCTTTACAATTTTAATAAAAGATCCTAGACATAGAAAAGTCACATTTTTGTCCTAATTTGATTCTATGGGTACTAAAGATTGTATTCTGTGGGAAATTTCATTTGAATGGTTTATTAGAGCTTCAGATTTTCTTGACAAAGAAAAGTAGGGTTGTCAAGGAGTTGCCAAGCCTCAAAGACACTTGATATAAGGTATTCTGAGTCTTCATGGTACAGAAAAGCCATCCTTTCTTTAGGTGGCTAGAAATGGAATCTTTTGTCTTCCTAGAAAGTCACAGAAGGCCTTTGTTGATTTCATGAAAGAGCAGAATTGTGCGTTTAAAAAACATCAGCTGTGTCGCCTCCTTGAAGACACAGAAATGCGCACACTTTAAACATGAAAGAGTGTGAATTATTTTAGCTTAAAGTTTAAAGGGTGATCTTAGAAACAGTTCTTTAGCAAAAAAGATTTACTTCTTTTTATAATTGGGGGGATAGGAGATGAAACTACACAAAGAATTAAGCCCATGTAAGAATTAAATATTTATTTGCCTTCTAAAGGAAATTGAAGCAATAAATCATAAAAATTTATTTGAAAAAAGTCTTTGAAAATCACTTTTCATCTCTTTCAAGGGGGAAAAAGCTACCATCTGGTTAGCACCAGGTGGTATGAAGTAATTGACTGAAGTTTTCCAAATAGGCAGCATGTATTTTGAATTAGGTGGGTACTGTTTCTGTATATTTTTCCTGGAATTGAATGCTGTTCTCTCAGGTATGGAGTAACCAGAGGGGATTGAACCCACAACCAAGGTATGTACCCCTGCCTGGAATTGAACCTGTAACTGTAATTGAACCTGGGACCCTTCAGTCTAAGGGCTGATGCTCTATCCACTGAGCCAAACCAGCTAGGGCTTATAATACTAGTCTTAATTTTTGTGGTAGTTTTTTTTTAAAAACAGCTTTATTGAAGTATAATTGATATTAAACACTGCATATGTTTAATGTATACAATTGATGAGTTTGTACCTATGCATACACCCATGATACTATCACTACAATCAAGGTAATAAAACATCCATTACTTCCAAAAGTTCCTTTGTATCCCTAATTATTTTTTGTTGTGATAAAAATGCTTCAAATGAGAATCATGGGTGTTCTGAGTGTTCAGCGGAGGAGAGCTCTTCTTACTGATCTACAGAGAGCTTCTTCCAGAAATATTATTTAAGCATTAAAACCACATCTTTTTAAATAACAAAAGTGTACCTGTGGTCACCTCTGGTATATGCCCGGATGTCAGAAGTACTAGGAATAGCAGATGACAATTACGTTCTAGAAACATTCATGACGAAAATTGTTACAAACCTTAAATACTGGGGAAGATGTGAGCCTGTAATTTCGAGGACTCTTCAGTTCCTAAATGACCTTTCTGTTGGATATCCTTTTTACTATATATTTGATCATTTATATGAATAGCCTAACAAGTGCATTCCATTAGCTAGGTATTTTTAATAAGGTCAAAATGTTCTAAAGTATTACCTTATAAAAATGAATTTCTAAGAATCAATATGTCTTTAGTAGTGTTCAGGTGAAAAGAATATTCTTTTCATTAGTTAAGAGGCACAAAGGAATTAGAAGAAAATTTTAAGTGTTTTGAACACTTTTGATTATTGGTCCTATCAACTCAACATCTTATTTACTCTAAAATGAGACTTCCCAGTACACATTAAAATGTTTATAATTTTCTCTCATTAGCAGATTTTTAAAATCTAAAACCAGACTCATCTTTTCTTATTAGGTTAATTGATAATACTGTCGTGTTTCTACCAATGAGAGAGAACAGTGTAAAAAATAAATGTTGATTTAGTTAAAAAAAATGCTTCAAATGAGATCCACCCTCTTAAAATTTCAAGTGCACAATACTGTGTTTTTAACTATAGTCACTGTGTTGTATAGAAGACTTCTAGAACTTACTCACCTTGCATAACTGAAACTTTATACCCATCGAACAATCACTTCCCATTTTCCTCTCCTCCAGCCCTTGGTAACCACCATTCTATTCTCTGCTTCTATGAGTTTGACTATTTTATTTTTTTAAAATTAAATTAAAAAGATTTCATCACCATTTATCCCCTCTATGTCTTTTTCCACCTCCAGAGTTTGACTATTTTAGATACCTCTTGAGACTGGCTTATTTCACTGAGAGTAATACCCTCAAGGTTCATGTTCTTACAAACTGTATAATCTCCTCTCACACAAAGTAGCTGGCCAGGTGCATATCCTATAGTTCTGTCCATTGGGTATTTTTCTGCTATCCATTGTCTTTCAAGGTTAACCCTGAGTGAAGCTGTATTGTAGCCACTTTCCATTTTTTACTTGTACCCTTATGTCAAGCAAACCATCTGCAAACCAAATTCAGGATTTTTCTTCCTCCTTTAGCTGGTTATATGGGAGCCTGACAGTATGGTCATCAGTGTGAGATGAGCGAGGGGTGCTGGTGTAGCTATAGTGGGTGACATGAGAGTCTGGGCTAACTTCTCATGCAGCTGGCTTGTGTTTTGGTGTGGTTCTCTTTGGGTTCCTCTTGTTTGGGAATCTCTGTGCTTCCTGGACTTATAAGTCTATTTCTTTCACCAGGTAGGGGAAGTTTTCTGCTAATATTTTTTTCAAATAGGTTTTTGATATCTTGCTCTTTCTTTTCTTCTGGAACCCCCATAATGCGAATATTGGTACAATTGAAGTTGCCCCAGAGGCTCCTTACATTATCTTCATATATATATTTAAATTTGCATATTTTTTTATTGTCTAAAGTTTTACATATGTCTCCTTTTCCCCCAAGCCATTCCCACCCCAGGCAAGCCCCAAACGCCCCAGTGTCTGTGTCCATTGTTACACTATCTTCATATTTTTGAATTCTTATTTCTTTTTGCTTTTCTTGTTGGGTGTTTTTTGCTTCCTCATATTTCAAATCGTTGATTTGATTCTTGGAATCCTCTACACTACTGTTGAATCCCTGTATATTATTCTTTATTTCAGTCAGTGTATGCTTAATTTCTGAATGTTCCTTTTCCATTTTTTTGGCATTCTCACTAAGATCCTTGAAAGTCTCACTAAGTCCCTTGGAGGTTTC